TTATCTGATTTGATAGTTAAGTATCTTCCTTCTTTGTTGGTATTGACTATTTGAGGAGTAAGTTTATAGGTCTTAATACGGAGGTTGAGGCCTTCTGCAAATTTATTATAGTCAATGGCTTGGTATGGGTTAGGTTAGGGTTTAGTTAGGGTTAAATTAGGGTTTAGTTAGGGTTAGATTAGGGTTAGGATTTGGGTTAGGTTAAAATTGTGAGAGAAACATTTTTACTTAATTAGATTACTTTAATAAATTTTGAGTTATTAAATATAGCTACAGATTTTTTAAAAATCATAATTGCTTAGATTTAATGTTATACTTAATTATGCATTCTGATTGGTTAACTAGGGTTTCGGGGTTTCAGATTATAGTTTCGGGAGTTTCGGGTTTCAGGATTTCGGTTTTTTTTTGAAACTAGTTTCGGATTAGAACCTTTCCAAAACTAGTTTTGGATTAAAACCTTTCCGAAACTAGTTTCGGATAGGTTTTGTTTCGAGTCTATCTCTAGTCTGTAATCTTCAAAAAGACTTTAATTTCAAGATTATTTAAGCATCTAGAACATTCCTTCTTTCTGAAGATTTGTTTAGAATCTTGTTATTTGCATTCTTCTTCAAACAGCTTTTGCTCTTCTTTTAGAAGTCTGAGTTGTTCCTCTAGTAATCTACACTCTTTATCTAATCTTTTTTGTTGTTCCTCTATTGTCTATGTTTACATTCTTCCTTATGTCGATTACATTCTTCTTCTAGCAGCTTACGTTCTTCTTCCAATCGTCTATATTCTTTTTCTATTGAACTTTCCTGAGAGGTACTTTCAATGACAGTATTATTAAAAAAGAATTCTTTAGGATAGCCCTCATCATATAAATATTCACAACTGTTATTAGCCCAAAAAGTAAAATTTTTGACATCAAACCGCACAAGAAATTCAAGGTGTAAGGGTACGTCAGAAATTTTAAAGATAGAAATTTCAAAATAATATAATTCTTCATTATTAGAATGTGTATGATTATAGTACAATTATACTATTGCCGGTGGTTCAAGAATTAATAGTGTATTCTATAATCACTATTTTCTCTTTGTTGTTATTAAAATGTTGTCAATAAACCCATGTTTTTCACCAATAACCTTTATAGATTTTAAGAATATTTTACCGAACATTTAAAAAAAATTGTGTTCAAATAAACATCTAATGAAGCTTTGATATTTATAAAAATTTATTTATATATTTTTTTCTACTATAAAGTAATTATAACACTAAATAGTCTACCATGTTTTACTTAAGCTTTTTATGCACTGGAGCAATATGATTTCCTTTTTAATCAATGACATACATTTGAATTATGAATCTTTTTGAGCAAATTTTAGTACGTATAGCCATTTATAAAATTAAGCTAAAAAATTTTGCCACCAAGTCCAAATATTTTTAGATGCAAATTTAATTTTATTTACCAATTTATGTATTAACAATTTGTTGTTAGTTTAGAGTTTGAAAATATCTTTTCAGCTGGCAAAAAATTTAAAATACAGTTATCCCTCCATATAGTTACCTCTTATATAATCACATCATATATAATCACATCTTTATTTAAGCCAAACTATGATTTAATTTATAAAAAAAAAAACCTCCATATAAGCACAACTCTTTATAAGCACATTTTTAAAAAAATTTACTATGTGCCCAACTGTGTGATTGTATAGAAGAATAACTGTATTATATTTCCTTAAGCTAAGATTGACGAAGAACTAATATCATAGACTCAACTAATTCTTATCTCCCTAAAAGTAGTTATATTAGCATTTTATTGCAGTTTGCAAATTTGCAGATCAAAAAAAAAAAAAGAATCGATGATTTCTGATTTCTTTACAGTACTTTTAATAACATATATATATCAATAATATTATATATTTTAAACTTTAATAAAGATAAGAGAAAGGTCTCACCTTAAATATTAAAAATATATATATATATATTTTTTAAACTTTATATTTTTAAAAAAAACTCTTTTCTAATAACCAAAAATTATTGTCAATAAACATAATTTGAATGCACAAAGTCTTTTTGTACAATATCTAAAACTTATTGTAACTGTAAAAAAATTATACTAAAGCTCCTTAAGCTTCTACTTTGAAATTTCATTATACTTTCAGTAATTAACAAATTAATTATCTGCACTTATATAATAATTTTTATAAAATTGAATTTAAATTTTCTTCTTGCTCATGCAATATGTAAAAAAAGAAACAATTAAATAATATACAATCAAATTTTTTACATAATGAATGTGCAAATTATATTTTTATAAAGGTTAAAAATAATGAATCTACAACTTCTTTTTTTGCAAAAAAAAATATATTTAAGAAATTGGAAATCAGAAATCATTAATTTCTTTCTTTTTTTTTTTTTTTTGGTCTGCAAATTTCACATGATTTTGCAAACCACAATAATTAAGATCATTATTTTGATCTATCACAAGAATTATCAGTATTTGATTATGACTAAAGTGTTATGTGAATAGCCAAAATTATAGAATAAGAATTATATATTATAATTACTAGAAATCATATCAAAGTGATGATTGAAAACTATGATATCAATTACAAAATATTACATTTATCCTTTAGTTGTCTAAATAAAATATAGAAATCATCTGTTTCTATTTTTGAAAAAAAAGAGCAAATGTTTTTAATAAAGAAGAGGCTCAAATTATATAAAAACTGAAAGTTTTAGCAGTATTAAATCCTTTACCATATTTCTTTAATTTTGTGTATTATAATTTCTGGGACTATACATGTAACATCAGCTTTCTGAATTCAATTTTCTTGAATTTTAAAAATTTCATCAAACTTTAATACAATCAGATATCAAAAATCTGTTAGCACAAGCAACAAACAATATACTAGTATTTTAACATATTCCATTATTGTGAATTTATGAAATTAAATTAACCAAAATTTAAATATTTGATTCTCAAATTTAAATTTTTGTTACCAAACTAGATGCTTGAGTTGCTTAAAGAGAGTTTGAAATGAGTATGTATTGTATTATTCTTGCTCTTTTCAATTTACTGTAATTATCAAATCTTGTAGATCACACATTACTGAGAATCTAGAAATTTGGAAATTAGCAATTTGATAATCATATTTTAATCTTTTAGCAAATATATCTTGACACCCACTAGACAAAATTTAATAAATTTTTTTTATTTGCATTCTACAGATTCGTAGAATTCAAATAAAAAAAAGTTCATATAGACACAATTCACTAACTCTTCTCAACGATCACTTGTACCAAATTTTGCTAAAACAAAACTTAAGTTTTCTCAAAACTGTGCTTTTTATTATACTCTTTTAATTAATTTTTATTGCTCTATACCCCATTTTACATATAACTACCAGGTTTTATATCTCTAAACAAGATTTTAATTAAATTAAACAAACCTTTGTCAAAACAAATACATTTTGAGTTTACTCAAAATCTGCTAAGGAAACTGGTCTTACTTCTTAAGACAAAGTCCTCAAGCTCGCTCCTAGCTTCATTTTGATATAAAATTCATTACAAACAGTCTAAAATTGACTGTTTTATTGTCAAATTATTTCAAACTCTCTTCTCTATAAATTTTTTTTTTTTTTTTTTTTTCTTTTTCCTCTTTTTTTTTCCTATTCAAATCCGGCCCCAAGCATGTTTTGGAAACTCAAAAATTAGTGGTTTACTCAATTAAAAATTCCAATTAAAGATTTCTTTTTAATTCTTTATTAATTTTACACAAAACAAACAATTACAAATCTGTATTCTTTTTAATATCACACAAATCTATACAGCATTACCTGCTATTTTTAGTAATCTTACACAAGCCTCTTTGTACTACAAGCCACACTAGCCACAGTATAGCCATACTAGCCACAAAAAAGTTGTACAAATAGTGCAACATTACACAAAACAAATTTTATCAATTCATGAAGCCCTCTTCGTTCTCTTTAACACTAAGTCTAGCAAACCTACCAATAGTTTATCAAAATTCCTACTTTGATTACAGAAGATTCAAATATTTATGATCTTGACTACTATTACAATAAGTACCCAGACCATTTTGGTATTGGTACTAAAGAAACAGACCCACTTACTCTATGTATTCTACTTAAAGATGTTAATCCTCTAAACTGCGAAACCAACAAGCAACATTATTATTTTAAAATGCTAACTCAACCAGCTTTATCAACCTGTCTCTGCAATAAATACCATACCAATTTCATATCTAAACACTACAAAATTAATCATACTACTACTCACTTCTTCTCTTCTAAACGAACTGCAATAGATATCTCCCCAGCTACAGTCATTTCCAAACAATGTTTTGAAAAAATTACTAATCATCTCCTCAGATATCCTATTACTAAACAACAACAAAATTACAACTTATTACACAAATTCAATCCTCCAACATCCATACAGATCCAACTCCAACTGCAATTATTCCTCATTCTCAACACTATCATATATATAATCTATTCAAAATTAAAAACATTCTATGTGTTTTTATTCAAGGATAAGAAACTAGACATGCACCAGACTACTCCAAAGCTGTGATATTTAAAGGCTTTTTAATCTATCATAAATGTGCAGCCAATTTCCAATATATCAACCTCAGACCTATTCCTCTAAGGCACTTACACAAGAACAATGCTTCTTTTATTACTTTTATTATTTCTATCAACTAACCAAGACCCAAAAAATTGACCTTCTTAAAAATCTTGCCCATAGAGGTAAATCCTTAAAACAAAACAAAAAATTAACAAATCTACCAGAGACACATCTCAAGACTTTAATTAGTTTGCCAACTTCCCTATTACTCAAAAAATGGAACAAAATACTAAACTAAACACAACACTTGCTTAAAACTCTTTAACTTTACCAAAACTCACCTTCGCAAATTTACTCCAGATCAACCAATCCCAACTCCTATAGAAAAAGAACCAACTTCCAAACCTCCTCAAAAACAAAGCTTCAACTATTTACTCAAATCTATGGCTACAAAAAAACTAGACTTCCTTACAGAATTCCTCCAACAATCAAATAAATCACTTTCTTCTGAACTAAACATTTCTCTATATGTCTACACTTCAACTCTAAAAAACCTACTTACCAAATTTACCGAACTTCTTTTTACTAAACTCAACTATGTCTATATCTTCAAATCTCATTACTTAATCTCTCTCTACTCTATTGCTGATCGTAGCAAAGTAGCAATCAATTTTGCTCGCTTATATCTCTTTCTTCAGAACAATCCACTACCAAAAATTCACAGAAAAACTTGATCTTTATCCACTTAGACTCTCTCTACAATATAACTTTGAATATGATAGCCCTAAAAAACCTTTTTTTAACATTTACAATAATAATCATTTCACAGTTACAGTTACTTTTAATATTCCTAAATCTAGATTTACAAACACTTTCCATATTCCATCACTTAAATTTCATATTAACTATTTTAATTCCTGATTTGAAAACTTTTTTAAAGCTTATAAAAAGCAATTTACCGATATCAATGAAACTAAAGTTCGCAACTATTTCAAATACGAAATTGCAACAACACTTGTAGAAGAATGCAAAAAACACTTATCCTCTGAATACAAAATCTCAAACCTCTCTTTTCTCCAAGATCGCTCTTTTCAAACTACCAAAGAAGCTTTTTACCATATCCATACTTGTAAAGATAAAAATTGCTCAATCCTATTCAAGGATACTGAGCATAATTTATCTAATCTCTCAACTTACTTTTTTGATAAATCATTTAAATTATTTCCAGCACCACCCAAAGAAGAAACTCCAACAACCACCCCATCAATTTAGATTTTACCATTATTCACTCCAAAAATCAATATCCAGCAACTTTCAAATACTCTTTCCAATACAAACACTAAATAAGCTAGCCACCGAAGCAGACCAAAAGTTTTTAGAAAATAACAATCTAGAAACAAACTCTAAACAAACTGTATACTATTTTTACTGCTACTTCAAAATCTATCTTAATGCAGTATCAACAAATGATAACATTTCAGATCTCAAACTTGAAGAAGCTTTAGAAAAAACCATATCTTCTTCCACTAATTCTTACACTCTTGCATGTATAATCCTTCACTATGATATCCAAAACTGA